AATAACTTATGTAATATAACAGTGAGAGCTAGAAATGTGAAAATCGAGATGTTCATTGGGGTAACACACACAATCCTAGGTGTTAGATATGTTTCAAGTCTCAACAAGAGTCTAGTATCCATGGAAAATTTGATAAGCGAGATTTCAAGTTTATGTATGGTAATAGAAGATTCCTAAGGGAGCACTAGTTGTTGCAAAAGGACAATTAATAGCCAATTTGTACATAATTGTTGGGGAGAGAGTTTTGGGAAAAGTTGATATTGCGGAAGTGGACTCTGTCATATGACATGATTCATATGTTTAGGCCACAAGAACAAGGGTCAACTCAAGGTACTTCTCAATAAAAACTTCATTCATGGCCAAAAATGTTTTAGTTTAAATTTTTATGAATCATGCTCGTCTAAAAACAAAATAGATTGTATTTTGTTTTATCCACCACTAAAAGTACAAATATTTTAGAGTTGATGCACTTGGGTATATGGGAACCACTATTATCTCTCAAGGGATGTTGCATATTTGTCACTATTGTTCTTGATTTACAGTTGGAACAATTAGATGTGAAAACTACTTCCTTGCAAAGTGTTTTAAAGAAAGAAATTTTTATGACCCAATCATTGAGGAATGTAAGGAGAATTTGCTTTGTAGACCAAAGAAATCTTTGAATGCGATTGAAACAAGCACTAAGATGTTGGTTTAGACAATTTACTCTTTCATGATGAGCTTGAATTTTCATACAAGTGTGGTTGATCATTGTGCCTATTTTCGCAATTTCAATGATGAAAGCTTTGTATGACACGATTGTTACAAAACCAAATAAAGAATATTGCAGCTCTTAAAGCTCAATTGGCTAGGAAATTTGAAAAGAAATATTTGGGAGCCATTAGTCGAATTTTTAGGATAAGCATAGTTAGAGAAAGAAAGAACAGTAAAATCTATTTATTTTAAGAATAATGTATAAAAGGTTTTGCGACACTTAAACATGCAGAACGCCAAACTAGTTAGAACCTCATATCTTAAGTTAGCACTAAAATAGGGAAGGCACATGTGTCTCGAGTACCGTATTCATCAGCAGTAGGGAGCAACATGTTTGCTATGGTTAGCATAACTCCTTGCATAGCATATGTAGTAGGAGTTGTAAGTAGATAGATGATGAATCCTAGCCATGATCATTAGACTGTTGTGAAGTGGATTCTTCGTTGTTTGAAGGGAAAATTTAACGCAGCTATGTACTAAAGTGACATGGATTTGAAATTTGTTAATTACTGATAAAACCTTTTTTCCTCTAAGTTTCGCACCTATGTTTTTAATTCTATGTATAGGCAGTTTTGTCCATATCATATATTTTTTTTGAGATTGTCCCTATCATATTTTTTAACAAAATATAAGGCTGAAAGGAGTGTGCATGTTTTGTAAGTCCTCACGACACTCTCTCCTTTCACATCTCTCATATCTCTCTCTCTTCTCTCTTCTCTATTTTTTTCTCTTTTCTCCTCTCTCTATATTCTCTGACAATTACATTGATATAGATTTTTTAGATAACTTAGAAAAAAGAAGGTTTACTGCTGGATATATTTTCCCTTGGGGAGATGGTTAACTGACAATCAAAGTTACAACCCCGATGGCTTTGTCATCTAAAGAAGCTTAGTATACATTATTTACTCATGCATCAACAAAAATAATTTGCACGATTCCACTTCATCGTGATAGCCAAAGTGTCTTGTTTTTACTATGCAATCCAACTTTTCATGATAGGAACAGACATATTAATATCTAATATTATATTGTTTGTGATGTATACCAATAAAGGTTTGGAAGTGCATGGGAGAGATTGGCATATTCTCATTGACCAAGCTATTAAAGAAGATTTTAAGAAGAAAGAATATGCCAATGAATGGAGGAAAAGTATTTCTTGTACCTATTTATAAGAATACTGGAAACATACAAATTTGTATGAACTATCGACGGAACAAACTTATGAGCCGCATTATGAAGCTATGGGAGAGAGTGATTGAGCAACGACTACAACTGGAAACGAGTGTATTAGAAAATTAGTTTGGTTTTATGCCAAGGAGATCAACTAGCTATTTGTCTTATTAGGCAATTGATACAAAAGTTTAGGGAGAAGAGAAAAGACCTCCACATGGTTTTTATTTATTTAGAGAAAGCATAAGATAGGGTACCTAGAGAGTTAATTTGTTGGGTGTTAAAAAAAAAGGAGCCTCAAGAAGATTTATTGACATGGTTAGGTAAATGTATGAGGGAGTCGAACTAATGTGAGAATGACTAGTGGAAACAAATCAATTTTTAGCGATAGCAGGCCTACATCAACGGTCAACATTGAGCCCATATCTCTTTGCTTTGGTTATGGACGAGTTAACTAGGTATCTACAGGATAAGATCCTGTAGTGTATGTTGTTTGTGGATGACATAATTTTGATTGATGAGACTAGAGACGACATAAATGCAAAGTTAGAACTTTGGAGGGACGCTTTAGAAACTAAAGGTTTTAAAATTCGCCGGACTAAGACAGAATCAATGGAATACACGTTTAGTAATAATAGGAGCAAAATACGAATAATTAGTTAAGATTGATGGCCAAGTAGTTCCTGAAAGAGATTATTTTCGATATCTTGGGTTGATAATCAATGAGAAATGAAAGATTGACAAAGATGCTGCTCATCGAATTAAAGTTGGGTCACAAAGTGGATAATGTTCTTTTGGAGTCTTATGTGTCACACCAATGAAACTAAAAAGGAAGTTTTATAAGACGGCTGTAACACCAACCATGCTTTATAGGATGGAATATTGAGCAAAAAACAACATAACCATAGAATGAGTTTAGTGGTAGCTCCAATTGGCGATAAAATGAGAAAAAGTAGACTTAGGTGATCTGGTCATGTACAACGTCGACTTAGAATAACGCCGGCTAGGAGTGATTTGGCCCAAGTGGAAGTCTCCGAATGAGCAGTGGGAAGGCCCTAAAGAACATGGATGGAAGTAGTGAGAAAATATATGGTCACTTCTAATCTGCCAGAGGGTATGGCCCTTGATAGAGCAGAATGGTGGAATAGAATTTGTGTAGGCCCCCAAATAGTGGTACTAAGGCTCAACTGATACAGATGATGATGAAGATGATTACTTTGTTTGTGATGTGTTAGACGATAGAAGAATTTTATTGCAGAAAATTCATATTGATAACCATCCAACAAATATGTTGACTAAGCGCACTGAGAAGGGGAAGTTCACTTAGTGTAAATGTCCTTGGAGCTTATGGTTTCCCTATGATTAGTAATTACTCACCAACAAATTTTTGAAGCAAACCAATCAAAAATCGAAACATGTCTTCAAGTGGGAGAATGTTAACGTGTGGAGCAAGTCGAGCAGATATCTTCAAGGAACAAATCCCTATAATCTTGTAAAGCATGTGTAAAGTCATATTTCCATTAACTTAAGATGTCCTATTCTATGGGGATTAGTACGAATCTCATATTTAGGGAAACGTTCAGCTAAATATATGGGAGACAGGATCTTTCTAATTCCAAAAAAGGAATGCGGGAGAGAGAGGGCTTATGTGGGTGCTTTAGGGTTCTTTCTCTATAAAAAGGGGTTCTTTCTCTATAAAAAGGGAGTACTATAGAGAGAGAGAAATAATGCACATATAAAAGAGAGATTCTAGTAGCCTTTTGGGAGATATTATAGAAGAGAGAAACCTTGCTTTAGTGCTTGTCAAAGAAAGCTCATAAACGCTTGAATTCTCTAGGCTTGTATGGTGTTTTCTTAAATTAGTGGATAAGAAAATTTGCTGCCCCGTGGATGTAGGCAATTGCCAAACCATGTAATCTCTTGTTTGGCTTTTCTTTTTCCACACAATTTGGTTTTTATCCTCTATACCATCAGCATCAACCACCCCTGTACACTCTCAAGCCCAAGATCAGACTTATTCTCATTTCATTGTCCCTCAATCTATCACCCTTGTCCTGCTAATCTCAGCAGAGTTGATCTCCCTCAAATCACCCGAGCCTTAGTGCAGCCCTCTTCTTCTTTCCCCCAAACCCTAACATATGCTTTCCCCTTATCTTCTCCTCCATCTTACTTTGATAGAACTTTCCTTATCTAGCCCCCCATCAGCGTTCTTTCATATGACCCTAAATTGATCCTAATACCATACTCATTCTGGACTTGTAACTTCCAGTAACCAACAATTCCCATAAACTCCCTTAGGTTATCCCGACACTTATCCTACCCATCCTAACCCCTATCCAACAATCTTAGCCATATTCCCCCATGTTTAGCAACCCTAAGCATCAAATCTAAGCCTTTTCTTTCAGGTGACCTAGCCACCGAAAACCCTATTGTTCCATATTTTTAAGCCAGCTAAGAGACATTACACTCATGAAGGATCCAAGACCCCTAGGCCCCACATCAGAAACAGGCCATTACCTCTGCACCCCACAGAAGACAAAAAAAAAAACTCATTTTTCCTTAGCCAAGTAGCAGAGTTTCCAATATGTCTCAAGTAAGCCATCAGTCCAAACTGGCACTTATTCCCTTTAGGTATTCAAGTAATTTGTGTATCTATATGTACACATGCACACATTTTCTCATCTTGGGGTTTTCCCAATCCTATTCCTCCTATTGTTCTCGCAAAAGGGAGAAAGGCAGTTCAGTCCTAAGATAGGCAGCAAGCAGGCAGCAGGGGCAGGCCATTTGGTACCAGTTCGCAGGGGCAAGGGCAGCTAGGGTTGCCTCCTCTCGGCCGTCGCCGTGGTTCGCCAATTCAGTGGTACGTGGCTTGACCCCAAGATGAGAACTATGTCTATTTTACTCAAACTTTATTTTATGACAATTTGCATAAGAAACTCTTCAAATGAAAAAGGTAAAAAATTTAACAACAATCAATGAAACCATGAAATGTCTGAGATAATCTGCAAAATGCTAAGTATTATTGTAAGAAGGTAACATAGGTTGAGGAATAGGAAAAAGTATAGCCAGAATTATACTTCCACGATATGGATTTAAGGTCCTCAATTGAATAGATTGATAGGACTTCAGATTGCAGAACATGTGCACAGCAGTAACTACTCCAAAAGAAGCAGCAGCTAATGGTCCAGAGGCCCCAATATGGTTGGCTAAGGCAATTCCAAGCATGATGCCAATGGATTTGCTCACCATCCCCTGGGCTTCTCCTTTTGCAATTACCTGCCACAGTAACCAGTGACAAAAGTAAGGCTTAGTCTTAATCATGACCAAAAAAAGAACTAATTTCATTTTCAAAGTCACAAATGAAACCAGTGGAATCAGATCCAGAAAGAAGTCATTTACAATGAACACAACAAGATATTAGAAAGCACCTAGTGTTTTTTCTACAAAAACACTGCAGCTTCCAAAAGAAGAACATGAAATTTACCAATGGTAACAGAGGAAGACATGTTTCACCTCAGCAAAATTCCTCTGTGCAGCAAATCCTGCAAAGAAACAGCTCCTTGTAGCAGCCTGTGAAGAACCCAAACTTAAAAACGCTGACACGAAATAAGATGCAAATAGTAACAGAAGAAATTAAATTTTATACATATAACGGCTTCGAGACTTCAAGCAAACAGCTCAACTGGAATGTGCTCACACTCACAACCTTAAAAGGTTGAAATACAAAAAAGAAGAACCAATATAAACAATCAAAATGTTTAAAGATGCCAGTGACTTCTTACAAACCCTCTCTCACTCAATAAATAAAAAAAATTAGTACAAGGAAAGAGATCAGCTATTAAAAAGGACTGCAAGGCCTACTTCTAGAACCAGGAAAAGATGAACAAGTTGCAAAGAAAAAAGCCCCAAATTTCCCAAGGGTGATAAGGTCATTTGATATATTCCATCTTCTTTTTGATAAATAACAGGTAAATTCACAAAGGTCATTTGATATATTCCATCTTCTTTTTGATAAATAACAGGTAAATTCACAAAAAAAACTCCCAATTTATTACCAGAATTTAGAATAGGGAATATATCTTTGTAATAAATAAAAGGTAAATTCACAAAAAACTCCCAATTTATTATCAGAATTTAAAATAGTCATCTATATTTCATATTTTACACTCAAGTCCCACCTTTTGAGAGGGTGAGATACTTGTATTTTACACTCAAGTCCTACCTTTTGAGAGGGTGAGATAATTGCATTTTACACTCAAGTCCCACCTTTTGAGAGGGTGAGATAATTGTATTTTTTATACATCAGATTAATCTCAAAATTTGGGGGTCCCACCATTATAGACCTGTTAAAAAAATATTAAAAAAATAAATAAATAGATTAAAATGACAAAAACAGCACTTAAAAGTGTTAGGCGAACTTTGGTCATTTTATTTCTTTCAAATTGTTAGTTTTGCAGTTTTGTAGGTGCGGAAGATGAACAGTATGGACACCCTAAATTGGAGGTTAATCCGTGGTATTGTTAAAAACAAAATTAAAACACAATATGAGCTCTCAAGAAGTAGGACTTGAGAGTAATATATAAACTATAGGGGACTATAATTAAATGGGATTGATATACAATGAGACCATTTATCTTTGATATAGGGAGGTCACAAATACTGAAAACTATCGGATGTAAAATCTGATATCTTCTTGGGTGTGTCACAAAGTTAGAAAAAATTTCTTTTTGAACTTTGAGTTGGTTAATGAAATAAATGCAGCCACCAAATTTCACATCCAATGGTCAAGATTAATTGTGACCACCTTGTACCAAAGGTAAATGGTCTCTTTATATACTTTCCCTAATTAAATTCCTATAATAAAATGTGCTTTTTATGGTAAATTCCCCAAAATATATTCCATCCTCTAACTGGAGTTTAATATATTAATTTGGTATCAATAAGACCTTTTACCTTTCATACAAAAAGGTCACAATCGCTCCCAAGCCGTCATGTGTGAAATCAGGGGGCTGGTGGTATACCATTAACAGTGCTCACAGTCTCAGATAATTTTCCTTGAATTTTATATGGAGAAATGACACACCCCAGCCATCTGATAGTAGATATGACAGTTTAGAGTGCTCTTGAACTTTGTGTACAAAAGGTAACAGTCTTATTGTACTAATTCCAATTTTCTATTACAAATACGTGGTGCAGTAAGAGGTAATATAGATTTCAAAGGTTTGCAAATGTTCAATACCCTTAGATAATGAGATTTGTAAGAGATTTCACTAATACACGGACCAACAAAAAAATTTCCACGTCTAAGTAAAAAGGCACAAATTTTGAAAGAATTCAAAAGGTGATCATTCCTGTGGTTGCACTTTAAAACTTCAACTGGTTTCTCTACAAAGGCACTTCCTGGTTAGTGCTTTTTTTTTTCTTTTCTTTTTTTTTGGATACTCCACCTCATTTTAGCAGGAGGGATATGCACCCAATGAGAATCAGAGAAGAACAGTAACAAATTGCCAATTGGAATGTATCCCACACTCCGTGAAGAAATTCAAATGGAAGTGCCGACATATTTTCTCAGTAAACAGAGTCCGTAATAGAAGGCTTCTTGCTGAATTAAAGCGGAAGTTAAGGGACTGGAGATGGAATATATATTGTTGGGTTGACAAACTAAATGCTCAAAATGCAAACCAAAACCTAAATTCCATACACATGCATCCCCAAGCAAGTCTGCAAATATTGCTCTAAGGCAAAAGTTTCCAAAATACATAAAACTAATCAGGACGCAATTCAGAATGCATCAGTTTCTCTTCCATACGTCAACCCACCGTATGAAGCTATTTAGCTCATGATTGATTCCAGGGAGGAAAGCCTTTCCAGCAAAATCCAAACTTTTCCCTTGTTTGGTTAAGCAAAAAGGCCGTTCCTAGGAAATTGCATTTCCTTGAGATGAGCTTTCCAATGGGGGACCCAAATGCGCAGGTTTCCTCATAAAAATTTTCCACCTTTTCAGGGATTACCCCCTCATTTCTTTCCTTGGGACAAAACAACCAACCGAATCCAGAGCTCTCCCTCTCTCTCATCTTGCACATAGACCTCTCATGTTCTCTCTCCAATCCTGCACATAGACCTCTCTTCTCTGCTCTTCTCTATCCAGTCTTGCACATAGACCTATCTTGTCTTCTCCTCCCCATCTTGCACAAACATGACTCCCAGCACAGATCCCTTCTACTCTCTTTATGCAGATCTCTCTCCTCTCTCTACACTGATAGCTCCCCTCCCTGATGTAGGGAAATTTGAGAAAGTAGTAAAATCAACAAGCAAAAAGCCAAACACAAGCACAAGCCAAAGAAACCCATGGTTTTTTCTCCATAACCCAAGCTAGAGTTTCAAAACCTACGCTTTTCTCTCTTTCAATTTCTAAAAATCGTGTGGAATGACCCTCAATGTTCAAAGACATTGCATGTCCATACAACAAATTGACCCAAAAGTCCTAATTTAAACACAAAATTTGTAATGACAATTTTACCCCCATAAACAGTAACCTGTGAATAGTGACTAGTGAATAGTAAATGAAAATACTAGAATGCCAAAAAAAACCCTCAAAATAAGCCCTAACACTAAGATCAAGGTATACATCTTTTGAAATTGAACTTAGGGTCAAATAATCTATTAGAAAATTATAACAAAAGATATATTTCTAAATTGAAGCAAGATTCCATATTGATTGAATCGCACTTCCCTACTCCTATGAACCAATATACTATTGTAGATTCTAGATTCAAAACCCTAACAAAACGAGAATCATTACATGTAGAATCATATATCATTCGACGTGGACTCAAGATTCAATCTGTGCTAGAGTCACGATTCGATGTATTTGGGAACAACTTTCCACAAATAATGGGTTCAAATTTCTAAAACGAGATTCCTAAATTAAGGAATCGAGATTCCTTGGATCCGAGAAATAGTTCCTGTGAAGATTCCTTAATGGAATCGCTGAATTGGGTTTCCGAAACGGAATCGCGGGGTCGGCAAAAAGATTTCGGTAACTATGCTATGGACAGAGGTAGTTTCTTGTAAGTATGGCTTCAAAGAGGGTAGCTGGTTCCCTAGATACGCTTGGCATCGAGCCTCCAGAGTCTGGACTAGCATAGCCAAGAGCAGATCTCGCTTTCTCTCCAACACCAGATTTGAAGTAGAAAATGGGGACGGGATCGGATTTTTGGACATATGTGGGCCTGGTAATCCTTGTTGACCACTGGCCTTCTCTCTTCTCCATAATCACTGACAAGTCAGCCACTGATAGGGACAACACTGAATGCAAGGGGGCAGCCTAGTGTGGACCCCACTCTTTAGGAGGGCCTTCTAAGAACCCGAAGCCCTCCACCTTACAGCCTCTTGGAGTGACTTCACAGTTTGTTCGTCACTCTTGCAGAGAACGAAGGGGTCTTGCATCCAATAGACTTTATGGTGGCCTTCTTCTACTCAGACCTACCGCCCATTCTACCCATCAATCCCATCTATAAAAAGATACGGCATGTCCCCATCCCACACAAGGTTCAGGGCTTCACATGGACCCTGGCCCATGGAAAAGCCTTCACTACTGACCAACTCCAAAGGAGGAGTCTTCATTGGCCAAATCACTGCATCATATGTCTGCAAGACGAAGAGTCAGCAAACCACCTCCTCCTTCACTACTTGGCCATCTCTCCGCTATTGTCGGAGCTCCTAAGTCTTTTAGGTCTATTTTGGGTCAACCCATAAAACATAAAACTCTTTGCAGCAAGGTCTACCTTGGGTCCACTCAAGGTGGGACTGTTGCAGACATGGTTAAATTGTAGCAACCATGGTTAAGAGGTCGAAAGTCAACACTTCTGAGGATCACTTAAAAGTCGCATACTGTATGTCTTGAGCATCCAACATGTAAGTTCATAACCAGAATTAACATTTGATCAGATTTTAATGCAACAAGAATCTTCTTAGGAAGAAAGTCGCAAAATAAGTTCTAGGAGAAAGTAGAGGAAGAAGAAATTCCGATAAGGAAACTTGGTGGTGGAGCGATGAGGTTCAGAAGGTCATTAGCCAAAACCGATCATGTTATAAAGCTTGGCAATGTAATAAAAATGATCGAAATTTAGAAGAATATATAAATTCTATATAAAAATGCCATGAAAAACACTAAATAAATAGTAAGTTAACCTAAATTTAACACTATAATCTATACAGTAATCGGGGAACAAGAAAAGGCGAAACAGATGCCTTCGAATTAGCAAAAACAAGAGAGAAAATTGTAGGAATCTAGACCATACTAAATGCATTAAGAGTGAGGATCAAAGGGTCATAGTCAGTGTCTCAAAAAGCGAACCGCCCAGCGCCTGGGCGGCCGCCTAAGCGGTGCAGAAGGCCTGGGCGCATCGCCCAAGCCTAGGCGGCCAAATTAGGCGAGTATCCTCGGGCGCCCGCCTAAGCGACCGCAAATGCCGCTTGTTGAGGCCATTTTTGGGTCATTTTGGGCCATTTTTTTTAGGGAAAATATCTCCTTATCCCCTATTTTTAACTTCCATATCTCATGAGAC